GCGTATGGGCCACTGTCTTTTCATCTGAATAGTCAGAGATGAGGGATTTTGATGATATGAATAAGAAGAGGCCGGGCCTATGTCTGTCGCTGTTCTATCCATTCTATAGTAAAGCACATGGAATTGAAGTTTGTACCCACCTTATCCTTTCTTTCCCTCCCTCCCTCCCTCCCTCCCTCCCTTCCTCCCTTCCTTCCCATTTTTCAGCCTTCAGAGTGCTGAAGTCACAGGTGTGCAGGTCCATTTCTTACTTTTCCTCTTATTTGTAAAAACTCCACAGTTAACTTCGGGGTGGAGAACATTGTAACTGTGACTTTAATTTCATCTGGGAAAAAATTATAGGCTTTATAATTTAGGAAACAATTTTGAAATTTAATGTTGCCCATTTCTCAGCCCCTTATCTGAGACTTTACCAAGAACAGCAATATGATAACCGGGACAGATTACTCTTCCTATGTGGGAAATCTAATTTCTGTAGTGAAATGGTTTTTAAAATGAGATGATTCTTAAAATTAAACTACTTGTCTAAAGATAGAAAATTCTGAGCTAGAGGGCAACACTGATGTTTGGTTCTCATTTATATGCATACACAAGTCTTTAAACCTGGAACAGATATGTTTATGCCTTTGACATTGCATAACAATAAAAGTAGTAGACTAATTGCTCCAGGAGAGCATCTGGGGGTGTGTTGGCCCTTTGAATAAGTGACATTGCCACATTTGAGTGTGACAGACAGGCCTGCGGATGCACTTGATCTCTTGGCCACCATTCAGTGGAGTGAGACTTTTAAACACCTCAGCCATAGTGAACCATTGAGGCCCTCTCCCTAGAGTTTCCGGTTGCTGCTGTTTTAAACTTTTACTTACTGGTCTTTCCTTTTTCTTTCTTTCCTTTCTTTCTTTCCTTTTCTTTTCTTTTCTTTTCTTTTCTTTCTTTCTTTCTTTCTTTCTTTCTTTCTTTCTTTCTTTCTTTCTTTCTCTCTTTTTTTAAATATTGTAGCTTTGGTTAGAAACTTTGGTGGGATTAGAAATGTAATTATTTGGATATTAAAGGGTTGCTTTAGAAATTGGACTGTCATTAGGAAGAAGGTCTTAAAGACTGGAATTCCATTGTCTTACAAGAAGTAAGAAATATTTATTGATTCCCAAATGGGGCTGAAGAAACTTCTCCTCTTTAGAAGGCTGTGAATGACTCAGCGAGAGCTCTGGTGAGCTTGACTGAACCAAGCTGCTAATAGTTATTTAATGTTATTCGTCAGTGGGAAAGAATCGCTGTAGATTTTCCTTTTAATCTCTTTGAATTGCAGGCTCATAAACCTCTCTGACGAGCCCTGCCAGTGTTGTCTTAGATCCCACTGCTGAGACAATGGAACCCCAGAATTCTTTCACCTCTTGTTGTCAGACAAACCCAATAGAATGCAAGGTCAGAGGGGCCTATACTTCTAAAGACTGAAAGATTCTTTTTCAAGGAAGCACATAAATTATTTGATTTTATCATTATATTCCTTAGGAGCCTCACTCTAACTATAATGCCTGCTTTTGATACATAAAAGTAAAATTGGAAGGTGGGGGGTTGAGGATTGTCTTGTCTCATTTGGCTAAGCTTGTCAGTATGACCCAGAGTGTGAACAGACCTTAATATTCCTAGATATTCAAAAGAGTTGAGCCCATTTTCTAATAAGAATCAGATTGCGTAGTCACTGTGCTCAAGATAGCGTGAGCACACCAAAGCCAGCAATGTGCTCTTCACAAATGGCTGTGCGTGGCTTTGTCCTTTTCGGGTTTTGTTTGTTTCCTGTTTTTGTTATTATGTTTTTTTTTTTTCCAAATAGTTATTACCATTATGTAGGGAAAAAAAGATTCAATTTTAAAATCTTGGATTTTAAAGTCAGTTTCTTTTCTCAATGTTAGTGGTGTCATGTTTCCACAGGAGAACTTTGAGGTGGGATTTTCATTTCTAGATCTGCCTATTAAAATGTCATTGCAACGAACAAGATTGTGTGTGTGTGTGTGTGTGTGTGCGCGCGCATGCCACTGCAAAAGAAAACAAACGTATCTGTTTTGAAGATGCCATGCCCTGATTACTACAGAAGTATCCAAGCTGCTTTGCTTTCATGGCTCCTGTAAGTGACTTTAGTAGATAGGGAAGAATTAAGATTTTCAATTATAACCACAGTGGTGGACAAGCAAAGATCATTGTTTAAAAAGAAAGAAAGAAAATCACACTGATTTGTTTGTACTCCTTCCTTATAATTGTAGTGGGGGTTGGGGTGGTAGGGTGGAATTTGCTGTTGCCCTATCCTTGGACACCTGCCTCTCAACAAAGGACCGTGATCACCCCCCACTGCCCACATTTAGATTCACCTTTTACTTTTCCTGTACTGGGTCTGCTCATTATGCAGTTCTCCAGGGATCCAGTTTTCCCCTGAGTTAATCACCCCAGCCTTTTCAGAAGTTGTTAGATTATTGTCTTTTCAAAGGACAATAACTTTTCTTTAAAAAAAAAAAGAAAAAAAAAACAAACAAAAACTTTATTTCTAGTTTTAAAAATGGGACCACTAGACTCTCAAACACACTGCCTTTAAAACCTTTTGTTGAAGTTTAACGCGTATGTACAGAGAGGTGCAGAAATCTGCATGTCACTTGATAGATTTCTCACCATAAGCACACCCGCGACTTCTAGGCAGCACACCTTGCCCCTCAACAGCATAGGAAAGTTTTCCTGGTATGTTTCATACTCGTTTATGTCAGATACTGATTTTTAAAGCCACTCACAGATTGTTGTGTACACAGTATTGAATAATCAACATCTCCATGTTTCCATAGCCACAGAACTCCAATCTGTTCCTTTCAACTTTGATCTTTGGCAAAGAATTAACCATTTTTCTGTTTTCTTTTCCCTTTTACCATGAGATGGGATATGCTCAATCTTTTAAACAAGAATAGGTGTTACCCTGTGCCTAGGGCTAAAGAGGAAGAGAAACAATGAAATGTGGGAACAGTGATAGCATGGCACACAAAATAGTAACTGGATCAGAATAGCAGCTGCTTCCCAGTAGAAAAGCAGAACAATAGGAGGCTGACTTGCTTGACAGTTACATTCGCAAGGTATTTCTCATTTATTATTTATTTTTAAATACAGTGGCACCATGGGTATTTATAAATGTTTATCCTTTTAACACAGTTAGTCTATTCTGGGTATCCGAGATAGGTCAGGATGAGAAAGCTAATTCCCTCAGTCTGTTTTGCTTCAGTTGGGGGCACAGAATAGAGAACTTCAAGATACCCTAGTAACTTGGTTGCAAATTAATAATACCTGTTTGTTCTCCAAATAGGTCGTTTCACTGTGAGTTATCCCCATTCTTCAAATATTAATTTCTTAATTCTAGCAAAGTTGACCCTTCTGAATAAGAGATCAAAATATAAGAATTTTTTTTTCTGTCCCTGAAACTTTCAAATTGAATTTAAAAAAATATATATATTGGAAAGAACCAGGTGTGGTGACATACACTTTTAATTCCAGCACTCGGGAGGCAGAGGCAGGTGATCTCTGTGAGATCAAGGCCAGCCTGACCTGCATAGTGAGTTCCAAGATAGCCAGGGCTATGTAGAGAGACCCTGTCTCAAAGGGGGAAAAAAGGAAAGAAGTCAAGTAGGCATGGTGGCTCCTGCCTGTAATCCCAACATTCATGAGGAAGAAAGACTGCCATGAATTCAAGCCAGCATGAGCTACACATAGTATATTGAAGTGTAGCCTGAACTATAAAGTAAGACCTGGTCTTTTAATGGCATGGGGGTAGGGAGTAGAGAGGGAGGAAGAAGCCAGAACAGGTAGGCAAGTATCCTTTGTATAGAATGTAGAAAATAAGGTGTTTTGTTTAGGAACTACTTAGCATACTATAAATTATTTGTAAACCATCAGTGGGCATAGATAGATGGGAGAGCTATCTGGACCACCACATAAAGTCTGTCTGGATTTTAGGAAGTTTAATAGACTGTTGGTACCCAGTAAATATGACGTAGTGTAATATTTGACATACTTTAATAGAAAACTATGGTAGGTTCAAAATATTGTATAATCTTGTCATCCATTTTTAAATTATGTAACTCACCAATAAATTCTGAGCAGGCGGTTATTAAATATAATTAAGTTGCAGGCATGCACACAACAGAACAAAGGGACATAGTCTCAGCAAGTGAACAAGAGACTAGGAAGACAGCTAAAGAAATTTTCATTGGAGTTAGAGAGGTTGCTGCATTTTAGCAATGTGTTCCTGCTTTTTAAGCATTAACTTCTAAAAGAACAATCCACACATACAGGAGTTATACAATGCCCTTGAAAACAGAAATGAAGGTTGCCCATCTATGGTTGTTTTCTTTGCTCAAAGTCTACATGTTTTAAGTGAGACTTCATGTTCCTACTACACAGACCATACTTTCAGTATAGCCGGATTCATGGCTTAGACCCTCTATCTGTAGAAGAACTCTTTGGCCCAGGAGACAGCAAAAGGCGCACAGAACACTGTTGTGTTGTGGGATTACCAAAGCAGTAAAGTCCTCCTCCCTTTAGTTTCTTACTATTCTTTTGCAGTCAGATAACCAACAGTCCCCCATGTTTTTGTAGAGCTTTGTTCTTTACAGCACCTCTGGCCTGATCTCATTTGATTTGAAAAATACCCATTAGTCTGCTTGAGTTGTCATAACAAAACACCGTAGACTGGGTAGCTGAGCAGAACTTGTCTCATGGTTCTGGAGGCTGAGAAGTTCAAGATCAAGGTGTTGGCCAGTTCTGTTCCTTATGGGTCTATTCTTCTGGCTTGCTGTTGTTCTTCATACGGACTATACCAGGGTGGACATGGGCTAAAATCTCTCTGCCTCTGTGCTGGTGTCAAAAGCATTAAGCTAGTTTGAAAATAGTTCATAGTATGGTTTGAATGGCCATACTGGACATGCATTATCAGCATTCATCATCATCAAATTGTCTCATTTTGTATTCTACAGAAGCTGAGCTAAGACGTATGGGGCCAGTAGATGCACAGGTGTACCTTGAAGATATGTCCTGGAACAAAGGTTGGATTTTATTTTATTTTGTTGTATCCACACTGAAGAGAAATATTAGGATTTTTTATATGTAAGAAAAAAATTAGGATATTTGGAAGTCTTAAATAACAGCTTGACCTTTCCACATACATTTTTGTTAGGCCTGCTTTTATCAACTTTGCTTATTGGGATATTATATAACTCATTCCTCATTATTTTCTATTCCAATTAAGTATATAAAGGTTTCTTTTTCATTTTTTTACTGCTTTGATTTTTGCATTATTATCTGTGTAATAAGGTTAAAGAAAAAGTAAAAAGAAAATGATAATACTCTTCATGTTGACAATTAAAGTAAGTCCCTGTCAGGATTTCTTTTTGCCTTATATGGGATCACAGACTGATAGGACAGATCTCTTAATGTCCTGGCCTTCTGCTTTGAAAGAACTTGCTGTTTTTCTTTGCCAAGGCCTCACATATAGTCTGATCTCATCTGAAAATAACTATGTTAGCTGAGAATGACCTCGAGCTCTGGTCCTCCTGCCTCTATGTGCTGAAAGCTGGGACGACAGGTACAAGCCATCACACACTGCCATGTGCGCCTGGGACTTCCCTAACAGGAGCTCACTTTTTGATTGTCCTTAAGAAAACTTTCTCAGTCCCCTTGTCTTCCATAAAGTCATGTCATCTTTCCATTTCCTTTTACTAGAATATTAAAATTAACCTATGTCATTCCACATTCTTCTGTTCTTTGAGATGGTTGTGGTTATTATTATTAAATTAGGAAAATACCACTTTCTAAATGGAAGCCAGGAGCATTATACTTCAGTACTTTTCTGGGAAAATAAAATTACTGTTTCTTAGTATTTATATATATATATACATACTCTTAACTCTGTAGAATTGTTTTTCCGCTTAGGGTTCAATTCCCCTAAAGGCTGATAGAAGTTTACTAATAAGTGTGGTGCTGGGATAGACACAGCCACCCTCCTTGAAACCAAGCTTCCTTTTTAGTGACAAATTATTTACTCAGAGAGAACAAGCATTACTGATTTAGAAGAGGAAATCATGTCTTTGCTTATAGAACCACTCTGTGTCTAGCCATCCAAATGAAATTGTGGGGTAGATGCTCATATTTACCATGAATAACCAGAGTTCTGGAGTCTTCTGTGGCAAAGTCATTGTAGTAAGAGGAGGAACCGCTTCTGTGGAAGCAACAGTGGCCTGCTCTTCATTGCTAGCTTCTGGAGAGACATACTAGAATGTAACATTCATTCAAGATTTGTCCAAATAAATATATTTTTTAAAAACAGACTTTGGGGGCTGGAGTATATATACTCTTGGCTTGCATTTAGATGGTTCACTGGTTAAGAACCCTGGCTGCTTTTGCAGAAGACATGGGTTCAATTCCCAGCACCCACGTGGCTGCTCACAAGTGTCTATATTCCAGTTTCAGGGGATCTAGCACCCTCTTCTGGCTTCTGCAGGCACTGCACACATGTGGTACACAGACTGGAAGGCAAAGCACCTATACACATAAAAACAAATTTAAGTTTTTAAAAAATATACTTTGACTCCTTATTAATCATTAGATGTTTAATTGCTCATTAAAAAGTTAGTTCTTGATGTAGTTTATAATATTTTGCTTGCTAATGGTGTCTAGAAGCATGAAAATAGTAAAAGCCAATTTTTGTAATTTTTCCATTTATATTTGAGCATTTTTGATTATGCAGTTTTAGGATATTATTGGTTTATTTATTTTTTGTTTTCTTAAGGGAGGGTCTCGTGTAATGCAGATTAACCTCAAACTGGCAAGACAGAGGTAGAAAATCTTGAACTTCTGATCCTCCTGTTCTCTTCCTCCAAGTGCCAGAATTACAGGCATGTCCCACCATGCCTAGTCTAAAATTTTATTTTAAATTCAAAATGTGGATTGGTGGTTTAGTCAATAAATATATGGATTTTCTGATACAAGTGAAAATTCCAACATAGTAAAGGAAGTACAGAAAATGAAATCACCAAGGATTGTCAGAAATATGTTTTTGTCCCTGAATCATTGTGTGTGGGGGGAGGGGGGGTTGCGCTTGCCATATGCAGGCCACAGGTTGATGATAGGACGTTCTCTCAATTGCTTCTCCACATTATTTCTTGAGAGTCTTCTCAGAGTCTAGATCTCAGCTTGGCTAGTCTGGATGACCACTAAGATCCTGGGTCTACAAGTTCCACTCTCTCCTGACCCACCACAGCTGGCCTTTATGTGGGTGCTAAAGATGAAACTCAAGTCCTTGTGGTATGCAGTAAGCACTCTACCCACTGAGCTAGTTCCCAAGCCTCTCCTAAAATAAGCTTCCTAGTACAAAAGTCAGCAGAAGCCAGCCACAGCCAATCAACTAATCAATAAGAAGCATACATAGTTATACGTATAACGTTAGATAGCTCAGCTGGGCTGTAGCACATTATTATAATGCTTACCTAACGGGCATGAGGCCCTTGATTAATCTCCATTACTGCCAAAACGAGAAAGAGGAGGACTAAAATACAGAGTATCTTTGGCATTCATTTAAATTAGGTTATAAAGATGAAAATTATCCTTATCTTCCTGAGAAAAATGAGCAATATCTGAGTGAAGTCTAGATTCTGACAGGCGTATTAATAACTAATGTAGGTTTTTAACTAACTTTTTCAGATAGAAAAAGCAGTATTAGCATATGAAGCTAATAAAAGGTCTATCAAGAGGGCAGTTATATTGTGTGGATTCCTTCAGGGTCATTTTCATAATGGCCTTGGGTGGTGAAGATTCAAAAAAAGGAGAGGTTGTGAGCATGCACATGAGAGTCATGGCCCAATAGTGCATTTTATTGTGCTGAAAACATGTCCCTGGAAACACGGGGGCATTGAAGCTAAGCTTTGCCTTGGTCATTTTGATGGTTACATCTAAAATGGTTTATATGAAAATACTGCTTTAAGACCTCAGTGAAGATAAGAAATTTCAACAAGATGTTAAGATGAAGTATCCATGACAAAACTCCAAGGTATCATTTATGAAATATGTCACCTCAGATTGTTTGTGTTCACTGAGTAGTTTAAAAGTGTGTTGTGGTGACGTACTTTAAGAAACCTAGGGCTGGAGAGATGGCTCAGAGGTTGAGAGCACTGACTGCTCTTCCAGAGGTCCCGAGTTCAATTCCCAGCAACCACATGGTGGCTCACAACCATCGGTAATGAGATCTGGTGGACTCTTCTGGCCTGCAGTCACATATGCTGTATACATAATAAATAAATCTTAAAAAAAAAAAAAAAAAAGAAACCTAATGACTTGTGTGTGTGTGTGTGTGTGTGTGTGTGTGTGTGTGTGTGTATGTATATATGTAATAAAATAAAAATACATGCCGAGAGAGAGAGAGAGAGAGAGAGAGAGAGAGAGAGAGAGAGAGAGAGAGAGAGAGAGAGAGAGAGAGAGAGGGAAAAGTTCAGTAGCAAAGCCAGGTATGGTAGCTTCTTTTTTTTTTGAGACAGGGTCTTACTATGTGATCCTGGCTGTCCTGGAGCTTACTATGTACACTAGGCTGGCCTCGAACTCACTGAGACCCACCTGCCTCTGCCTCCCAAGTGCTGGGATTAAAAGCTTGGGTCACCACACCTTGTCATCCCAACACTTGGGAGGCTAAGGAAGAATATTGCAGAGTTCAAGGCCAGTAATGACTACTCAGTAAGACCCTGTCTCAAACCAAAAAAACAAAAAAACAAAAACAAAAACAAAAAAAAAAGGAAAGAAGAAGGAAGCAAGAGAGAGAGGGAAGGAAAAGAGAAAAGAAGGCTTGACAGATGGATCTGAGGCCTACATGCTGGAAGGAGAGCAAACACGTGCTTTATCTTCTGACCTCTACACACATGCCATGGGCACATGCACACACACAATAACAAAAACAGTAATCATAATAATAAATGAAATAATGAAAATCAATTTTCAAGATATATATACATATATATATACACACACACACATATATATGCTGGCTCAAACAGGGGAAATATTTATCTACTTATTTATTTATTTATTTCTTGTTTTCTGAGACAGGGTTTCTCTGTGTAACAGCCTTGGCTGTCCTGGAACTCACTTTGTAGACCAGGCTGGTCTTGAACTCAGAGATCCACCTGCCTCTGCCTCCTAAGTGCTGGGATTAAAGGCATTGTACCACCATGCCCAGCTGATACTTGCATTTCTAAACAAGAAATTATTTTTTGTTTATGAAGAATACCCACATTGTGATATAAAAATATAAAGCAAGAACAGATTTGTGTTTTCATTTTTGATAAGGCAGCACATAAAGTTGGCTTAACTGCCCAGTTTTTCAAGACTGCACTTTATTTATACAGAGCACAAAGCAGCTGAATCTCATTTTGGCCTCTCCCTCCCTCCTCCTGCAGAGTGAGCTCTAAATGTAGTGGACTTTGAGAGTCAGCTGTAGGCCCCTGTGCCCACTGGACCATCATGTCATTTGTCTCTAAGTTCTGAGTGCAGTCAAATCGATTATGACCTGGGGAGTTCGATAACTGTGATGCTTCTGTAAACTAGAACTGCAGTGGGATCAGAGGTTTGCATTCAAAGGACAGGAGCATCTAGACTTCCTATCTCCACCATTACTAGCAGGTTTGCTGGTACATGTCTGCAATCTTGGCACCCAGAGACTGAGTCAGGATCACCAGAGTTCAAGGCCACCTTATACTACATAACACAGCTCTAGCTTTACAAAAAAAATGTAAGGAGATGGCCAAATGGCTCAGTGAATAAAGGCACTGGGGGTCAAGCCTGACACCCTGAGTTGGGTTCCCACAAGTTGTCCTCTGACCTCCACACTCACACCCTGCCGTGTGTATGTGAGTGTACACCCACACCCCCTAAATGTAGTACATTTTCAAAGTACAAAGTGAAATGTAAAAATCCCATCGTCAGTTGTACTTTCTGCATGTGATTTTCCTATGGTACTTACCATAAATACAAAGCAAACAGATACGTAACTCATGGGGAAGAACAAACAAAAGCAAACACTTCATATGGTGTTGTATTTGAGTCACCTGATTGTAGAATGGCATGGACAGCTTGAGGTAAACAACTGGGGTAGCCACCTTCTCTAGGAGAGACTTAAGCAAATACCACGCTCCGTTTGTTCTCACTGTAACATCTTAAAGGCATTGCTGAGAATATAAAATTTGCAGGATTCTTAAGAAAACTAAAAATTTCAAATAAATTTCAAAGACTACTGTCAGCATCCTTTGCTCCATCCCCATCCATGAATATTGAATACAGACAGTATTCGAATTGAACCAGTCCATCACAACTCCCGATAGACTGGTCAGTAGGTAAGTTTGGAAATACTGTTACTATGTAAGAGAATCTTTCCAGCTCTCTTTTAAATTCATTTTTATCTGTACCTGGTTTCTTTGTTTCATTTTACACAGTTTCTCTGGAACATGTTCTGTATTTTGAATGGTTTTAGCAAAGTAGATGACTGTAAATATTTGAGGCATTATTTTTGTTTTCTTTGCAGATGATGAGTCTTTCTCTCTGACCTGCCGATGTGGTGGAAAATACACTGTCTCTAAGGATGAAGTAGAAGAAGTGAACCTGATTTGTTGTGATACGTGCTCACTGATTGTAGAACTCCTTCATCAGCAATGAACTGTGCATTCCCGCGATCTTTTAACATGGATCCAGCATGTCCAGAGGCCACTCAGTTTCAAGGAGACAGATGCTTTCTTACTAGCTGTATAATTTACTAAGATAATATAAGATCTTCAGGCAAAGACCACTTCAGATTAACAAATTAATTCAGTTGTTTACATGTATAATTACAGGATATTACAAAAAGGACTTGGATTACACTTCTGGATTTTTACCTGACAGCTTTTGTTTTCTCCTTGGTACAAAATATTTCTTGTTTTTATATAGTTTGTAGTTTTTATTTTTTATAGTTTATTCTTTATAGTTACTAAGGGTTTTGTTTTTTGTTTTAATCTTGTGTATGTGTGTGTGTGTGTGTGTGTGTGTGTGTGTAGGGCAATAAGTGAGTCTTCTGTGAAGAGTTGATTTTTCTCTTCTTCCCCTATGTGGGTCCCAGGGGTCAAATTTGGGTCCTCAGGCTGTGGTAAGTGCCTTTACCTGCTGAACAATCTTGCTGTCCCCAATTATGAAGTTGATGATGTTTTTAGTTACTGAAGTTATATGCCTACTGTATACCTATTTCAAATTTGCAGGCATTTAAATAAGATTAGGATTTTGTGAACAAAGTGTGAGCCCAGCTCTACCCTAAACAAGGCTGGATATGGATCACTACAAATGTATTTCAAAGCTAGTAAAGAGGACCAAATATTAGAAAACGTGACTCCAGTCCTGGCCCTGGATGTCTAAAGCTTGTTGGCTGCTTATCATAACTTCAGATGTAATTTAATAAGAGAAAACTTTTAAAAAATTGAAATTCAGATTTTATTTTTTATTTAATTGCCTCCATTTATGACCAAGGAGCCATTTATTTCATTACTGGTGTGGTGAAGGTGCTTTTCTACCAAATGATTACTGACGACAATGGGCTGGAGGTGTCATACCCTACATGAGCTCTTTGTATGTTAACACTGTGTTTACAGTGTAGACCAGAGTTCACTTTCCCAACACCCAGGGGCCCTTATGGAGCACCTCTAATTTCTGTAGTCTAACTCTTGGTGTTATCAGAAGAGCATAGACTTGGAATGTTGGTGTCTGACTTCTGTAAAGGCAGCTGACACGAGGCACACTTGAGAGCAGATTGCTTTCACTGTACAGGCACCACCAAAGTTCAAATGTCAGGCAGTCATCGAGATTCTCCCCCAAGATATGTTTATGTCACAAAATTTAGAAAGAAAACTTGTTTGGGATTTTTATCCAAATACTTTCAATTAATGTATTTTGCAGAATGTGATGTTTACTTTTACATTTAATTAAAAACATAAATAAAACTGAGTAGCAAATAGTTTATTGGTAAATTCATGGTTTCAACTGCAGTAATAAATTCATTGAATAGGAGACAATAATCAAGTCAAAAAATAAATGTTTGCTAATCATCAGAAAACCTGTGGCCATTTGGGCTGTCCCGCAGAAATCCAAAATCACTGAAAGGCCAAATCTGTAAAGTGAAAATACAGTTGAAGACAATTAACAAGAATTCCTTATCCTTATGACCTTCTCTTTTCTGTCAGATCATTGTCTGTTAGATAATGCAGTGCACTCTCTTCATCAGTTCTTCTGAAATAAGCTTATGTGTTCAGCCTGGGGCGTTCAAACAGAATACCAGAAACCATGTAGGTTTAGGATATCAATATATATTTGTGAAGACCTGTCTTCTTTTACCATCCTAAAATAAGTCACACTACCAGTCTATGGTACTTGATACTTAGTTGCTGTTTCAGTATAAAGAATCCTGAACATTACACAGTTGCCCTAAGTACTCATGAGTTTTTCTTCTTATGCCTTTTGATGAAGGGGAGCAGGTGTGGTGATGCACACCTGTAATCCACACCCATGATACTGACACTTAGGAGACAGAGACAGGAGGGTGGAGAGTTTAAGGCCAGCCTGGACTACAGAGTGAGACTGTCTCAGAACAAAATTATATCAACCAGTAATGGAAGAACCAATGAAGATGACAATGTCATCCAAGGCTTGTACATTCCCTACAGCCATATGCCTGCCTATGGCTTGCTGGATTTGACTAGGTCTGCCTGCATTCCAAGTAGACTGAGCCTGGGCTGCTGTTGTAGAAATGCTTGCTGAAATGCCAGGGTATGACTATGGCTGTAAAAGTCACACATGACAGGTTGATTTCTGTAAACTCAAAGGCTCCCTAGGCGACCATTAGTTGAGTCTGAATTACACAAATTTCTGTTCTTCCCCATAGGAGCAGAAAAGGGAGAGGATAATATTTTGTCTATAGCTCTTAAGTAAAGGTACAATGTTCATCAAATTAGTCACTGCAACAGTTAAGTCAACTTGAGAGAAGCACCCCCCAATGAGAGTAACACTGGCATTTTAGGCACTGAAGCATACCTTAAAGAAGATCCGCCCTCGTATTAGTCCATATGGAATAGGTCCATAGTACCTGGAGTCTGTAGAATTCTCTAAGTTGTCACCTTCTAACCAAACATGACCTGTTGGCACCTGGGATTAGTAAAGACAAGCAAGTCCTTTAAAAAAAAGAAAACCTCAACAGAGGACTGTCACTAAAAATACATCCTTAAAGGCCCAGCACTGTGGTGTACACCTAGAATCCTCACACTCAGGAGACTGAGGCAGGGGATCATGAACGCAAAGCTAGCCTGGGCTACACAACCAGTATGTGAAAGAAAGACTTCATTTGGAAGTAGAGCATATGCCCTAAAATCTTCCTTTATACGTGTCACAAGAATTGCTATTTTTGTTTTCATTTCTTACTAACTAAATATCAAAGGTTTCCACACTTTTTAAAGATCCCTTTATTATATGGTTCCCAAACATTAATTTGTAGAAACCCCAAACTAAGGCTGTAAGAAATCCAAACAGTGTGGCAGTGTCATTAATTTAATAGACTTCAAAAGAGGTCATTAGGCTGCTGACTGAAAATGTGCCCTCCTGTTGTAATAACAGCATAAGCAGGGCAGCCAGTCAGCAACATCCTGGGGCCAGTTCCAAGGCCAGACCTATTAGAACGCTCATGATGAACTAAGTGGTAATGGATTGTGACATCAATTACGGATAATCTCATCATTTTACTGCAGTGGGCTTGTCAGAGTTCTAATTAAGACCCCTGTCCTGCCTTTGTACAGGCCATATCGTCACTGCCTTATATGTTGATAATGACCATCAAGAACCAGGAGGACCTATTATAAAACCACAGTTGCAAATTAATGACAGTGACCTTCTACTAGATGAAAAGATAACTCCTGTGTATTAACTGGTAAAAAGTTTAAAGTGTTTACTCAATTACAATCCTTTTAAGAAGGCGATACTTTTCAAAAATGCATTCCTCCTATATGAGACATTCCCCCACTAACATTCATTTAATATAAACGGAAGGTGCTTTGTGGCAGTAGTCTGTACACCACCCTTTAATGTTTTTATTTTACAGTTTTTGTTATGCAAGAAAAGTTGATTCACTGACCAGACAAAACAATCTCTTGGAAAGATTGCATTATTTTTGGTACAGCTTAATAGGACACACTATAGTTCGATTGTTTTGTATCACAATTTTCTTTTTGTATATTCTTAAAAGCATTTAAATTTTAAGTTTATTTTCGTAAGATTATATTTCTGGGATATGTGAAACGATTAGAGGAACTAGTTTCAGCTCCTAGAGCTGACAACACGTCCAGTGCCTACCTATACCATGAACTGGCTGCTAGGCAGGGACGGGTAAGATGGTCAGTAGAAAAGCAAGTGTATCTGAAGTCACGGGCAACAGGAACACTGCAGCTGGCAAAGCCCAGTCTACCTACCACATTCTCAAGTTTTACTTTCGGAGAAGATGCAAGAGAAAGAGCTCTTGTAATTATATTTCTAGTTTCTCAAAATATGTTCCCGAACCCTAAAAAACAGGTGCTATATTGAATGAATAAGGGACACCAGTAAGAACAAAAGGAAGATGCTTCACAAATAGGGTAATATACTAACAATCTTGGGAGATCTCTACCCAGGTAAGGACCCATGGCATTTACATTCCACCTTCTATGTGGCTTCCCCTGTTTGCATGCCTATGCCAAATGCTCTGAGTTTTTAGGACATGTGTTATATAATACCAATCTTGCTTGGAGTACTGCCGGGCGGTGGTGGTGCACGCCTTTAATCCCAGCACTCGGGAGGCAGAGCCAGGCGGATCTCTGTGAGTTCGAGGCCAGCCTGGGCTACCAAGTGAGTTCCAGGAGAGGCGCAAAGCTACAGAGAAACCCTGTCTCGAAAAACCAAAAAAAAAAAAAAAAAAGTATAAAGCTGTTGTTCTCTGTGTCTCAATTATTATATTTTTATAATAGCATATATTACCTAGAAATCTAATATACACACACACACACATACATGCGTGCATGTGTATCTTAAACTGCTTTACTTTTTTTTGGTGATACTTGTACTTTTTTTTTTTCTGAGTACTATCTCACTATGTATCCCAGGCTGTCCTTGAACTCACAATGCCCTCCTTCAACCTTCAAAGTGCTAGAATTACAGGTGTGCAACATCCACCATCATGCCCAGTTTAACTTTATTAATTTGTTTTTGGTTTTTTGAGACAGGGTTTCTCTGTGTAGCTTTGCGCCTGTCCTGGAACTCACTTGGTAGTCCAGGTTGGCCTCGAACTCACAGAGATCCGCCTGGCTCTGCCTCCCGAGTGCTGGGATTAAAGGCGTGCGCCACCACCGCCCGGCTCTGTTTTTGGTTTTTTTATTTGTTTGTTTATTGAGATGGGGTCTCACTATGCAGCCTTGGATGGACTAGAATTCACTACTGTAGAACAGGCTGATGCCAGAATCAAAAGAGATTTCCCTGTCTCTGCCTCCTAAGTGCTGGGATCAAAGATGTGCATCACCATGCCCAGCTGCCTGATACTTTTAAAGATTTATTTTTAATGTTTGTGTATGTACATGTTTTGGTCTGCATGTTAGAATGTACATATGCATACAGGTGCTCATAGAGACCAGAACGGGCCATCAGATCGTTTGGAGCTGGAGTGACAGGCCATTGTGAGTTCTTAGCCACTGAGCCGTTTCTTCAGCCCTCAGCCTGACACTGTTCAAAGGGGAATGCTGTAATGATGCAAGTCAGGGACAGCTTTATGGATGTTTTTTAAGTTTTTGGTCTCTGGTACTACAGTGAGAGCAGGCTAGCCTCCAACCCATACAACAGATCTCTGTTGCTTTGAAGAGTACAAATAAAAACTACAATTGCATCAAACAACATGAGAAAGAAGTTTACAACAATCCTAAAGTATGAACAGGGAAAGATAGCAGAGTAATATATATTTATGTTTTAAAGCCTATGATAGATAGCCTTATAACTAGGGCTAGAAAAGATTCTAATAAACAATGCTTCACAAATTCTGAATTCCATTGGATTGTGTTGTTTCCCATAATGAATATTTTCTAAGTCGGGTTACTTTTCTTTTGAGACTTTTGAGAAGTAAGTCTGCCATACTTACTTCTGAGCCATGACAAAAGCTAATCGGGGCTGTGAAAGAGGAGCCAGCCTGCATTCTCAGCTATACTTGCTCAAGTCTGGTGAAGTACCTCCTTTTTAGTACAAGCGACCAATGTAATTGCCTCCTGGTCTGCGGGTGTCCATTTATCAGAGGCAGCTTTGCAAAGCAAGCCACAGGTGGTACCTTTCATGATTCAAGTGAAATCTGATGAGAGCTTAAAATATCAAATAACACATCTACTAAATTGTAGTCACTCATTTATTTGATTAAGCAAAGAACACTAGTTTTAAAATTTTTTTGACTAAAAAGTAAGATATTGTATGTTGACTTTCCAAAGGTTTCAAGAACAAAAAATCCTAAGAAATGGTTGTTTTTAAGTTAACCCCTTATTTACTACAGATCTTATGATTTACAAGCAATAGCGTTGTTATGCATTGGCCTTATCTATGGCTTATGGCTCTTCTAATCAGTGCATTAAAAACACGAAGGCAAGAACAGAAGTGATCCTTTAGGAATTCTTTTTTTGCACTATTTTTTCTTCTGTGATATACAGGAAACACACACTTTACAAAAGCATTCAGATTAGGCCTTTCTGTTTCTTTTTAGCAAAAGGAAATGAGGGTGATACAGCAAGGGCACTTTAGTCTCAAAAGCATTTCATTTTCAGCAACTGTTTTTAAATATCCATTTTGTATCTAAGGAAATATAATGCTTAATTCCTTACCCGGAAAAAAAAAACAAAAAAAACCTCCACATGACGAATGTAAGATGTCTTTAATTCTAACAATTATTAGCCATACAATTTTTATCAGTGT